TTTATGGTTCAGTGTTCAGGGTTTAGGGTTTGGGGTTTAGGCTTTAGGGTTCAGGGTTTCGGGTTTAGGCTTTAGGGTTCAGGGTTTAGGGTTTAGGGTTCAGGGTTTAGGGTTCAGGGTTTAGAGTCTAGAGTTTAGGGTGGAGGGTCGAGGGTTTGGCTTTTGGGATGTGTCAGCTGTAATTGAGGTCGTTCATCACAATGTTTTGTTAGTTAGGAAAGCATGGACAGGTTGCATAGGGTCGAGGATTAGGGGAATCCTGGTTCAGGTGGTTCGGATCTAGAAGAGACGAGTTTCAGCCCTCATACATTGCCCGGAACCTGCTGTTACAACCCCTTACTAAAGAGATGCAACTGGCCCAAAAAGGAACTCCATAGGAGCCCTTGGGTAGCGGTATCCTTAGAGGGCACTCCTGCATCTCTGAAGCTTTATAACGAGGCAGCTATGGTGGGCTCAGAGCTTCGTGCTCAGGGTTTAGGGTGGTTCATGGAAAACTTGAAAATGCACCACCCTAACCCAAAACCTGAACCGTAAACCCTCAAGCCTCAACCCTAAAAGCAAAACCTTAAGCCCTGAAACATAAACCTTAAACCTAGACCTTAATCCCAGTCCCTGAACCCAGTCCTAAACCCCAAAACCGAAAACCTAAACCTTTGAACCCTCAAACCCTGAGTCCTCAACCCTCAGCCTTCAACCCTAAGACCTAAGCCCTAAACCCCAAATCCTAACCCTAAGACCTAAACCCTAAACCCTAAACCCAAACCCTTACCCTAAACCCTAATCCCCAAACCCTAAGACCTAAACCCTAAGACCCAAACCTGAAATCCCTAAGCCCCAACAGGGCCAAACCTTCCTGCAAAGCGCTCCGCGCAGGCGGCACCCTTCCTGAATAAGCCTATTGACATGGCAAAGGCCTTTGGCGGGCTGCAATTTAGGGTTTAAGGTTTAGGGTTTAGGGCTTAGGGTTTGGGGTTTAAGGTGTGCAGGCGGTTTCGCGCGCTCGGGCGTGAAACGCCCCTGGTCGCGCGCTTGCGTTGCCTGTAAGCCCACCCCATCCACCCACAATACATTCAGTTAGGGTTTAACACTTCCTGCGTGCATGCACGATGCATGACACCGCCGATAATGCTGCGTTAATTGGACGTGCCAGTTTGCAGGCTCAGAGAAAGGGCTTGAGTAGCCCCAGCCCTCTTCGGGCTGGAGCAGTATGGATCAAGCTTCGATTGAAAGAGCTTGATTGAC